GGGACTGAAGCCAGGCGCGGAGGGCGGGGCGAGGCTCCGCTTCCGACAGCAGGCCCGCGATTTGAGCCAATCGGAACACAGCCTCCCTCCCCTCGCCAGCCCGCGAGTTAGCGGGCGCGCGCAGGCGCATCTTCCTATTCCGGGCCCGCTCACTAGCGTACCGGGCTGCTAGTTGGTCACGTGGCAGGCGCCAGCCAGAGAGCGAATCGAGCTCCGTAGCAAATCATTCTGCGTAGCAGAGGAGCAGTGTGCCGTCTGCGGCAGCAGGCGCACAAGGTACAGTGACAGCTAAGGAGTGCTGAGCTCCGCTGGGAGGTGGGTGGCCCAGGCGGCCCGCCCAGGGATGAGGAGCAGCAAACAATGGCGCTGCAGCCAGAGGGAATGGCAGTGATGAAAGGCACAGGAGCCAATTTTAGGGTTAGAATTGAAGCTATGAAAAACAGAGGGCTCACAGGCTGCATGAAATGACATTATGCATTCGTAAAAACTCACGGGAGTGTACAACGCAGAGGGAAATGTAACTGTGGACTGTAGTTAACAGTGTATCAAGTCTTGGCTCAAACACATGTTAACACTTGATACAAAATATTAATAGGAGAGGCTTCCCGGGTGGCGAAGTGGTTGAGAGTCCGCCTGCCGATGCAGGGGACACGGGTTCGTGTCCCGGTCCGGGAAGATCCCACGTGCCGCGGAGCGGCTGGGCCCGTGGGCCATGGCCGCTGGGCCTGCGCGTCCGGAGCCTGTGCTCCGCAACGCGAGAGGCCACAGCAGTGAGAGGCCCGCGTACCGCAATTTTAAAAAAAAAAAAAAAAAAAAAAAAAAAAAAAAAAAAATAGGGGAAACTGAGGGGGACGGGTGGGGGGTCCACGGGAACTGTACTATCTGCTCACTTCTGTAAATGTAAAACCATGCTAGAAAGCAAGCCCACCGATTATTTTCAAATGAAGGCTTGGGTTAGGAAGTAGATTCAAGGGGTGTCACGGTGATCGGACGGACAGACAGGACTCGCTTTTGGTTTGCAGGGGAGGGAGGAATCAAGGACAGTTGCCAGGGCTCGAGCAACTGGGTAGCTGGTTGGGCCATTGCTGAGAGACATTGGTAGAGAAGCTCAGCGAGCAGTTGGACTCAGGCATCTGGAGCCTGGCAAGGCAGCAGCAGAGCAGGGCTCGGAAGGCTCCCAGAACTCCAGGGTTCCCTTCCCCCGGGACCCAAAGATGGCTCCAAGCTATCAGACATCTCCAAAGCCCCGAAAAAGCTCTTCCCTTCTACTTGGGCTTGGCAGGAAGCACTGTGCCAAAAGGATGTGAGGTCACATCCACAGGGATGCAGAAGAGCCAGAGAGGGGCATACACACACCCCCAAAAATGTGCACGCTCGCACAGGTAGACTCCCCAAGGCCACTGGGTGAAGTTTATTGTGAAAGCTCTCGGGGTGAGGATGGGATGGGCAGGCCAGGGCAGGGAGAGAAGCATGTGCAGGCTCTAGGAGGCTGAGTCAGAGGCCTCTGAGCTGTCCTTGACATCGGTGCTCTCTGTGGTCTCGCTGACCTCACTGAGGTCTTTGCTGTCTCCGCCGCTATCCTCCGCAGCCAGGCCCTTTTCCTCACGACAGGCCTCTCCCGAGCTCGGAAGCGAGCTGCCCTTGCCCTCCACCTTGTTCTCGATGGAGCCCAGCACCACGTGCCTGGCCTTCTCCTTCAGCTCCAGGTGCCGCCTCAGCTGCCACCAGGAGCCCGGGGAGAAACGGGAGTTAGGAGACAGCACCTAAGTCTCTAGACCACGAAGGCCCTCTCCTGCTGCCCGTGCCTTGTCCCTTGCTGGCGGCGGGGGGCAGGATGAGAGGCAGCAGGGCCAGGGCAGGAAACAGGACTCAGCCCGACTCCCAGGGGGGAGCCCTGGCACTGTCCCCTCTGGGCCCGTTTCCTCTCCTGTAAAGTGGAGGTGCTCACGGCTCCCTCACGAGGCTGCCGTGGAGCCCTCTGAACGGCCTGGGCCCCCGAGGAGCCTTGGGCAGAACCCTGACTTCTCTTCAGCCCGGTTCTGTCTGGCCCCTGAGCCTTGGAGGCCAGCCACAGCCGTCCCCAGGCCCCGCGTCTCTCAGCACGTCCAGGGGCCTCCTCCCTCTCCTCTCACAGCAGCCTCTGGGCAGGACGGGCTTCTTCCTCGGAGAATGGAATCTTGGGCCGATGGCCTTCGTTAAAACCCTGCCGAGGTCCGGCTCCCCGCCTGCCAGCTACGGAAGCTGAGGTGAGGAGGGCCAGGACTCCCGGCCACGCAGCCTCCAACTGTCCCAGGCCGCCCCTGCTCGCCTTGCCTGGGGACTGCGGCCCTGGCCCCGCAGGACTCTTACCTGCAGGACTCTTACCTCATCGGCCATCTGGGTGAGATCCCGCTTCATCGCATATGCGTCTTCCCCATCTGCATAGTATTTGGGCTCCACTTCGCTGATCCTGGGGGCAGCAGGTGGAGAGAAGGAGGGCAACCCAAATCGGGGGCAATTCTCAGCCTTCTGGCATCATCTGCTAGTGGGGCAGGGTGTCACTGCCCCCCCAAGGACCCTTTGGGAGACATTTCCAACATGGTCTTCCCTCTGCTTTCTCCAACAGTAAGTAGCACCCACTGCCCCTCGTCCCTAACCTGGCCACCAAGGATCTGTGCCTGTGGTTTCCTGTGAACTGAAGCCCTGAATTTGGCAGTCCCCTCCCCTCCCCTCCCCGCCCTGCTCCCTGTCACTTCCTGGGCATGCATGGCTGGCTCGTATGCCTAACAATTGGAACCGGGGAGGGGTGCTGCGGCCTGGGCCTCTGTTCTTGGTGGTCGTTACCAGGCAGCGTGGCCCCTAGCCCGAGCAGCTCAGGGGCCAAGCCTGCACTGGGAAGTGTGTATGCAGACCTGGGCACCCTGCCAGCCTTAAGACCCTAGAACTGTCAACCACCAGAGGCATTTGCATCCAGGCCAAAGATCCTGCCTCAGATACCCAGCCCAGAGGCCACTTCCCTTCCCAACAGTCCCTCCTCGTCCCCCACCAAGCTGAAGCTGACGCTGTCTCAGTGGGCCCTCCATGGACAGCCCATCTCAGCCACCTGGATAAGCCAGACCTGGGGACCATCCCACTCCCTTGAGAAAAATCTAGATCTACTTACTGAAAGTTGAGGGTGTTGGAATAGAGGTGCAGAGCGGCCCGGTTACTGCAGGGGAATAAGGCACTGCTGAGCTGTACAGACGAGGCCAGGCAGGGACAGCACGTCCAGGCCCTGCCCCTCCTCCCGGCCCCCCCTCCCCACTAAGCCCACTTCCCGATCTTCTCCAAAAGCCAAGGCAGCCCAGGGTCCACATCGAGGCAGTGTCCCCGCTGGTGGTGGTGGGATGAATTGGGAGATTGGGATTGACATATATACACGAATATGTATAAAATAGATAACTGATAAGAACCTGCTGTATAAAAATAAATAAAATAAAATTCAAAAAAGACCCAACAAAACAGACAGTATCCCCCTACCCACCCCCCCTTCCCTCGGCCCTGGCTTCCACCTCTTCCTGACATGCAGGGAGACGTATTTGGCATTGAAGTTCTCGATCATGGCTCGGGAGGCCTGGTCCATCAGCTTCTGAGCCAGGCCAAGGCGCCGGTGGGAACGCTTCACAGCCTGGTGGGAGAAAGGTGGGACCTCGGGGCGGCTCCAACTAACTTCCGCCCCCGCCCCCACCAGAGCCTGGGTGGGCCCTACGCACCAGCGAGGTGATGTGTCCATGGGGCACGTCGTCCGGGTCCTCTTCCCTAGAGCAAGAAGAAAGGAGAGGGGCTAGGCGTGAACCCCAAAGTGCATCCAGTCCCGGGACGGGGGAGAGCCAGGACTCTCCAAACCCCAGGCAGCAGCCAAAAGACATGTGCAGCGTCAATGGAATACTGTTCAGTGCTAAAAAGAAAGGAGCTCTCAAGCTATGAAAAGACGTGGGGGAAGACTTCAATGCATATGACTTAAGTGAAAGGTGGTCTGAAATGGCTACACACTGTATGATTCTAATCATATGACCTTCTGGAGAAGGCGAAAGTACGGAGACAGTAAAGAGATCAGTGGTTCCCGGGGAGAGGGGAGGGAGGGAGGGCAGTGAAACTACTCTGTTTGACACTATAGTATCGGATACTCATTATACCTTTGATGGAATGTAGAACTACTCAAAGAGTAAAACAGCGTAACTATGGGTTTTTCTGCAATAGTGTAACAGCATCGGTTCACCCATTATAACAGATTTGCCACAAGATGTCAATGTGAGAGGAAACTGAACTAAAGGAACAGTCTGTTAATTAACAAAACGAAACAAAAAAACCCAACCCAACCCAACCCAGGCAGCATCCATCGGACGGTGCGGTGTAGGTGTCCCTCCTCCCCCCACCCCCAGGTCAGGCGCCAGGCTTGTCCCTCCGTCCTTGGTGACTCACATTTTGGCCAGGACATACCCCACAATCTTCCCATTCTCATCCTCAGCGATGTAAGAGAGCTGAGTGACAGGGAGGAAAGAGAAGGCAGAAAACAAGTTCCCGTCAGAGCTGGAGGCGCCCTTATCGGACACCTGGCCCCAGCGCCTGCCTGTCGCTATGTGCATGACAGACAGAAGCCCATCGGGCAGCGAGTTCAGTGACAGCTCCTGACCTCCAGGACAAGTGGCTTGGTTTTCCCACATCACACCGTGCCCCCTTTCCTTAACCCAGAAGAAGTGGACAGACACAGGTGGGAATACTGCCCCTACCCTGGCCCTGTTCACCCCTCTTCAAGGCGCCTCCTATCCATCTCCCGCCACCCCAGCCGGAAACACTCAGGGCCTCATTGACCCATGCGCCCCCCGGACTCTTCACGACCTTGCGCGACCTCGCCAGCTCGTCCCAAGCCGACCCAGGGTGGAATTTCCTTGGCCTGGTTTCCCTCATCCCCAAATTCAACAGCTGCCCACCTGGGGCCAGGAAAGGCCATGGTAGAAATAATATTTCATCTGGTAATTCTCGGGCAGGCACAGGAGGTTGCAGTGCTGCATGTTCATCAGGTCCTCTGGCTGCGGGAGAGGAGGGCAGTGGAATGCAGTCAGGCCGGGGGCTGCGGTGACTAAGTAGGCCTCGGTCGTGTTAGAACCCTGCTCTGTCTACTCAGCGACCCCCGCCCCCCACAGGGCTGGGCGGGCGCTGGGACTGTCTCCGCACAGGCCTGGCCCACAGCCGCTGTGCAAAAACTGACTGTTCCAGGAATGAACGTTGACCTCCAGGAAGCTCCCCGACACCATCCAACGGAAACCCGACATCCGGAAAGAAGGAGTTCGCAGCCCCGGCCCTGCGCCCCTGGCTCCCCCAGCCTCCTCTTCGGGTAGATCCAGCCCCACGGGGACGTGGCCTTCACTTTTCCGCGCCGGGCGGCCGAGGGCGCCCAGGGCGGCTGGCCTGGTGATCGGCCGGGCCCATCGGGATCACGCGCACGCGGCCACCGGGCCCCGCTCCCACGCGGCGCGGACAGCCTCCGGCCCCGGCCCCTCACCCTCGCATTGCGGATGTTCATAACGGCGGCGGGGCTCGCGGCTCCCAGCGGGTCGTGAACGCGCAGTCAGCTGCCACCGCGATCCGAAGCGACGCCGGGGCTGCCAGGCCGGGGCTGGGGCTGGGGCTGGGGCTGG